AAAAAAAAAAAAGGCAAATCACTCTGGTGTCTCTTCAAAGGAGTTCATTTTATTTATACCATATACTCATATAAATTAGAAATATAAGATGCATTTCTAATTCAAATGTGATATATAAAAGATGTATTTACATCTTACATGAAATTATTTATGGAAATTTAAATACAGCCTTTAAAGGATTTTGCTGGAAAAGAAAAAGATGTATTATTTTAATCTATGTAAAATATAGTACCCAATATATTTGGTTGAAAAATCACAAAATTAAAACTGTAGGTTAATTTCTTCCCCCAAAGAGCTCTAAAGTATCCCTCTCTGCAGAAAATGACAGTGTCCTACCATGTCACACTTGCTGTGTCCATTAAGTCACATGGGGAAATCCCAGCATGCTGTTCACTGTTATGTTCCGGAGTATGGCAGAGTAGCCTCATTATTTACTCAACACATTGTTAGGAGATTATTTCTAGGGTGCTAACTCTACCAAGTATTTTTTGATGAATAATAAAACTTACAAGAGAAAATTATTTCAACCAACCTGTAATGATACCAATTTTCCTTCTAGATTTTCTGCCTTTTTCTTCCATTCAGTTGTAAGTTGTTTGTGCTTTTCAATTTCAGCAGAATACATAGCTTTTTCCTCTAAAAAGAAAAAAAAGAAAAAAAAGAATTGCATTAATGTTTTGCAATTGTGACAGAATCAGAATTTTAAACCATTTGAATTTTTAATAATTCAACAAAACAAATGCCTCAAGGAAATAATGTAAACCTTTGTGACGTTAACTGGAATTAATGAGATCAGTATCCTCAGCTTAATTCTGTCTCATCTTGCAAACTATTCTCTTCCCTCAGAATCTACACAGCTCCCCTTGACAAAGCTTTCTTTGTGGCTTCAGTGCCATACTATCTTATATACATATTCACTCTAATAATTATTATACTATAAAACACACTGTGTGTATCATGCTGACATCCACATCTATACAAGTTTTGTTTCACCACAAAATTAAAATCCCAGTTATTTCAGGCATCACAGCACCTAGTCACCATCATCAATAGTGGTTAATTCACAGACAACAATTACTGAATACATGAACAAACAAATGGATTTGTGGATGACCTAAAAGGGGTAAATTTGAGGCTGGGAGGTAGCATATTGGTTCTCAAGATGAGACCACATTGGTTAGTTTTACTGTTTCCAAAAAAGTATTTTTTTTAAAGATTTATTATTTATGTATACAGAACTAGGGTACAGGCCAGAGGTGCAGGGGTGGTGAGAGGCTTCACCAGAGACAGCAGGAGCAGAACAGGCCGACTGATTACGTACACTGCTGAGGGGAGCAGTGGGCGGGTCAGGAGAGGTCTGCCACACCATGTGGGTCAGCTCCAGGGCAGGGATCGAGCTCATGCTGAAGTGGCTTTAGCTTCTTAGTGGCTTTAGCTTCTTAGTGCTGCGCAACCAGGGAGGGCCCTCCAAAAAAGCATTTTTCACCTGAACTAAAAGGTATAGCTACCTCAAAGTATAAATGAGTAGCTAAGAACAAGGTCATCATTTCAAAGGCAGTAATTACTGATGTTAAATGGGCTCAATCTCAAGCCATAATCTGGAAACCTAAGCATCTTTTCTACATGTTTTCTCTTTACAGTGGGGGGCCTCTGTATCATGTAATCATCTATTCTATATTACCCTGACACTTCCCCAACTCTCCCCTTTTTGGTATTAAAACACTGTTAATTGAAATATATTTGACATGTGGCATTAGATTCACTGAAGTTAAAAAACAAAAAATTTGATCGCTGTATTTTTGCTATCTAGTTTTAATTACAAGGAGTCTAAATGAACTTGCTGATGTTCACTTATCTTTATCCCCACAAGTAACCTTTCACAGATTTCCCCATGCTTGATGTTAAAATAGCACTTACATAGCCAAAATTCCCCAAACTGACAGTATTTTTTCCTTCACCAATGACCACACAACTTACCTTGCTGGAAGTGCTCCAGCACCATCTGCAGGTTGGAGAGTGACAATGCGTACTGCTTTACCTGTTCCTGAGAGACAGAGAGCTGCAGTGCAGTGTCGTCCCTTTGCTTGGAGATTACATCCAGTTGTTCCTGCAATGATTCTACCTGCAAGTTGGCTTGATGGCTTCAGACGAAAAAAATAGAAGTCAAACTTTCCATCTATTTAGATACCTTAACAAGAAGAAACATCTTTCCTACTTTTTTTTGGTGGCAAAATATATGTAACATTGACAATTTTAACCATTCCTAAGTGTCCAATGCCGTGATGCTAAGCACAGTAACACATGGATGACCATCGTGGCGGCCATATCCTGAACTCTCTGCATCTTCCCAACCTAAAACTCCACCCATCAAACAACTTCTCCCAGTAACTACCATTCTATCTTCCGTCTCTATGAATTTTACCTTTTCTACATTTTATTACATTAAATCCAGGTTAGATTTTAGAGAAACTTAAAAGAGTTGCTCTGATCTCTGTCCTTTCTGTTTAATTCAATCATCTTCCCTATGAAAATGACTTTCAACAAGTGATAGTTATTTTAAATACTAAGAACTGGCTAAGTAAGAAATATTAGCATAAGGAAAATGTACAAATAACAATCAGCTTTCACGTTTCCAAGCTAAAGTCTAAGATTCAAATTATCATAAAAATTTAAGTTGTAGGGCCCTCCCTGGTGGCGCAGCGGGTTAAAGCACGGCACTGATAAACTAAAGCCACTTCCACATGAGTTCGATTCCCGCCTGCCCCGGAGGTGACCACATGGCACGACAGACCTCTCCTGACCCGCCCGCTGCTCCCCTCAGCAGTGTACTTCGTCGATCTGCCTGTTCTGCTCCCCACTCTGTCTCTGGTGAAGCCTC